TTTCCGTCCCCCCCCCCCCTTTTTTTTTTTTTTTTTGGATGTGGCAGGTGGTGGGTTGGGTAGGTAGGAGGGGAATGCCTTAAAAATAAAGACCTGTTCACTCTACCAAACCTTCAAAATAAGGAGGTAAAGTACAGGCACCGTTAGTTCCATGAGGGTTCACTATGTTTAGTATATTTTCCAAAAACATTAAAAACAGTCTTGAACAGTTGTAGCATGGGTTATCCCATGACTTTCACCTCTTCGGTTTACTTCGCAAATTCTTCGAGTAGCTTGTCTCAGAAGCATGCTTGCTGAGCTTCTTGTCTAATGATGTATTTTGTAGACTATACATTTTAAATTAAACTTTTATATAAAGAATGTTACAAGCTTTTCCTTTGTTCACAATTTAATCTTTGTGCTGAATATTCTTCAAAAGCTTTATAAATAATACAATAAATTTAGAACCAGCCTTCTGCCCACTTGTCATTATACCATGTTGTTGCTTTCTCCAGCTTTATCTACAAGCTGTAGGAGAGAAGAGACAAAAAAAAATTCTTTAAGTTACTTGCACATTTATGCATGTACATTCAAAATGCTATCTCAGAAATATAAATTGGTACTTGTGCGCATTTAGTAGGTGACTGAAAATGATTATAGTCAAATAGTACTCACCAAGGTCTCATGAGATTTAAAAATTTGTAAACATCAAAAATACCTTACATTGCAATTTGTGTTTCTGCATGATATGTTTTTCATGGATATTAATGGTGCAACATGAAAATGCAACAGAATGAAAACATAAATTAGAAAAATGCAGGTAACACTGCTAGCTTAATGGCCAAAATAAAATAAAATAATTAACTAAAAGAAAAAAATATCAGCCACTCATGCATTAACAGACCAAATAAGATATTTCAACTGACCATTACTGTGGATTCTCTTCTGAGCCTACGTAGGCTTTGAATAAAACATTAACAATTATCTTTTTAAACAGGATTTAACCCAATTAAGATCAATTTATATATATAGGTAAGATCAATTGCTGAGTGGAACATTCAATTGATCATGGATCATGAGCCAGACCTTGGCCTGGGACTGTTAGACTACAACATTCAAACAGATGAACTTGAACTTTAAAATGAATCAATCTTTGCAAACTGGACTGTGTCTGTCTTAATTGTACAGCTTCTGAATTTTACAATGTATGTATTAAATGGTAGCTTTCAAGACTAAGGTTAAAACACTTACAATTACAAATTTCCAAATACAAAGAGACATATGCACAGTACAAATCCTAGGTTATCATCTTGCTGGTGCTATTTGCCTCTCTCCTATTCCCTGGTTATTTCGTTAAAAGAATGGCAAATGTGAAAAACACAGATCTCAGTAAATGGCAAAACTTATCCCAAGCATAGTGGACCCGAATAAGTATTAATTAGATAAATGATTATGTATCACATGAAAGTTTATGGATCCGTTTTCATTTTACCATATAGTACAAAATAATATATCTAGTCTATTTTCTTATTATACCTGCATTAACATCGACAAGGCTCTACTTCCAGCCATCAACATGCTACATCACGATTGTTCTTCTGGCATTATGAATTAGCCTAATGAATTATACACACAGATCTCATTCATCTCATTACTAATATGGTACCAAAGGACCTACACAAAGGATGCTGGGGCCTAGAGACAGTTACTAGGCATATTCTTGACTCACCTTGAAGGTCTATGCAAATCTTAAAGAGAGCAATTTGAAATTACTCTGGGGCTTTTTTATGTTTAACTTACGCAAAATTAAGTAGATCAAACATAAAAACCTAAATCGGAATTAAAACCGCTCCTAATTTTATTTTTGACCCAGTGGTGCACACGAATAATGGAATCTCAGATCATTGGCATTTGTAACATGCATATGTAATTCAAAACTTGAATATAATGATGCAGGGATAATCAGCTATAAGTGTCTCTACTTTAGAGACTTCAGTGGAAATTAGTTTTATTTTAATCTCTTTAGGATTGAATATGACTCGTATGGTGCAAGAACTGTACAAAATGCATACACAGTAACCATTTATTGTTCTATGACTATGTGCATAGTATTTCTGCATTATTATTTGCTAAATCTACAACCACCATGGATTGAACAAAAAGGTTCAAACTTAATTTTAAGTAGATGAATACTTACCGAGCTTATACCAGGTAAATTCAAGAGATATCCAAGGACTGGCACTCTTCTAATAAAACCAACCACCACAGGAAAGAAACCCCTTTAAACAAAAAGATTCTGAAGTTACGTAGGTCCAACATGACGTGATATTATTCCTACATATTAGACTGGATGAAGGAATGAGTTATTTGAAATGAGATTGCATTAAAAAAATTACTTGTAGCTTTTTAGTAGAAAATAAGTTCTGACATATATATATGGAATCTACTAATTCAGGAGGGGAGGGAGAGAAAGAAGTGGCAGGAAAAAATACAATATTAAAAAGCTTCCCCCCCGCTTTTTAAATGTTTTGAAAATCCCACCCGATAGAGGTAGGATTTTATAAAGTACCTAAATGAGTTAGGAGCACATTGAGGGTCACTAGGGCCAGCAATCCTAACAATTGGAGTACTTTTGAAAATCCCACCAATATTCAGTAGAAATAAAATACATTTCACCAGTTATTTTTATGCCCAAATATAGGATTAAATTATTTCAGAAGCTGACACTATGGTACATTATGACAGATGCATGGGCTGATTTGATGTTTTAATGGGAAAGAAATTCTCACAATGTTTAAAGTTTTGGGAAACTTACTGAGTAACCTGGAACTCCCATTGCAGATTACCAAAACTGGCAATTTAACAAGTAAATAATTACAGAAACAAGGCTGTACCATTAAAATACCATCTGTTCACTTGTTTTGACAAGTTTCTTTAATCTATTTGATAGTTTTTAGTATATCATTAATGTAGTGCAAATGCATTTTATAAAGTAATGAAGGCCTCAGTACAGCAGTCATTTATTAGACATATGCTGAGAAGTAGGAGTAGAGCTGTTTGAATAAATTCTCAGATATACCGATTAGCTATGTGAGAACTTGTGAGGTTCTACTGTAATTCCAATGGGGACTACTAAAGCAAATTTTAAAAAGAAAGTTTATATAAAAAGCTATGTATTTGGCCAGTTATTTCCTGTGGGTTTTTTTTTTTGTTTTGACATTTTAGACTGATGTGTGGAAGAGAGCTTATTCTTCCTATTTGATTCTGCAGGAGACACCTATTTTTTGATACTGTACTGTGTTACGGAAGTCTGCATGATATAACAAATGCAGCACCATGGTGGAGATGGGCTAAGAAATAGCAACCACTTGTTTTAGAACAAATTTTAGATTTACCAAGTGTCAAGAAAAGAGTTAAATTAAAGATAAGTGGTTTTATGCGCCAAAGGCTTTTAGGTTTGAAAGTAAGACTATGAGAGCTCTTTAATGTCTCTTAGTTAATAAATAATCTAATTGTTCTCCTTTAAAAGATTGTGGTAGGACTCTGTGTGCATTGACTTTAGCCAGCCACTTCATTTCTTTGGAGATTGTTCTTTCATATATATTAGACTTCTGTCACACAGCAAGCACTGTTGAGGTATGAAGTACCACCACGGACAACATTTCAGATTTTTCTTACAATGTACTTTGCTGCTTTTAAAGCTTTCAAGTGTACCAAAGCAATTTTTTTTGCTTCAAAGTGGCTGATCAGAGATGCAAATAGCACATTCAAATAAACCATTTTAATACACTCAGTGAAATAATTCATATTATTAATACGGCTATGATTTAGTCATGGTATTTTTAGTAAAAGTCATGGACAGGTCACGGGCAATAAACTGCCCAGGGCTGCGGCTGCTCTGGCCGGGGAATGCTGCCCGGGGCTGCAGATTGCGGCTGCTCTGGCTGGCTGGACAGAGAGCACTGCTGAGGCCAGCGGACTGCGGCTGCACAGGTTAGCCAGGGATCACTGCCAGGGTCACAGAATCTGTGACAGACACGGAACCGTAATTATGATTCCCTAAAGATGTGATGAGGTACATATCAACATGTGCTTTTACAACTTTAAAACAAAATGTAAGAGTCAATTTACAAGCGACTAAAGCAAAACTGCCTCTTTGTTAACATACCAATTACTGAAGGAAGTCTTAGATCAATGCATAACCATTTGCAAAACATTTGTGGTAATACTTTGCAAGTTAAGGATGAAATAACTTGGACGAACAAAAACAAGGAAGATCTAAGGATGGGACTTTTTAAAAGCATTCTGCTTTTGACATAACTCACCTCCCACTGAAGTCAAAAATAAAAATTCCATTGACTTCAGGAGGAGCAAAGGTAGGTCAATATTGAGCACTTTTGAAATTCCCAACTTAAGTGTTTAAATATAGGACTATATATCCAACGTTAGTGAGTTAAAGATATTATGATCCAAATCACACTTCCTTTGACTTCCACAGCAACTGCATTAATTTTCACCTGCCACTGCAGCACCATGGAAAAAGCTTTAGTGGCTACTATACTGAGTCATGAGTCTGTTAAATAGTTCTGATTTCATCAGAAGTTCAGGGTTAAGTTCAAAAAGGTCTATAGTGTCATCTGTGTGACATTTTCCTCTTTCCCTCCCCAAAGGATGCGGATTTCAGCAAGTCAGAAGTGATATGAAAAAAAATGATGAATGGCTCTCCTTATGGGAATGCTAGGCACAAGTATGAAACTTACTATATATGAATAATGATTTTTCAGATTTACATAACTCACTTTTGTTAACCATATAACAAAATGTTGCTCCATTTAAGTGATTATGCTAGGCATAAGCATTATGAGACATAAGGTGATTGGATAATGAAAACAAATCTGTTTTAGTTTCTGTTTCTCATACACTAGCACAATACCCAAGGTTGCAAACACTAGAAGGAAATGTTCAATAAAATGTGGGTTTTTTTCAAAAGAACATCGCGTTTCTTCAGATTTAAGCTAGGTTTTTACTGGGGGTGGTGGTAAATTAGACAAAGTCCACAGTTTAGGCCCAAAGGACATTTTGGTTCTTTAAAAAAATCCTTGCTTGATTGGGGGGTGGGAAGAGTGTGAAATTGTCAAGTGCAATTTTTCACACATATGAAACAATGTAACAAATATCAAACGGATTTAGGCAATGTTGATTTTAAAGTATCAAACTAGTACACATCAAGTTCCAGGTTGCTACAAATACAAATTAAGGATCTGTATAAATTATAAAGTGTGCTTAGAGATGAAATTTCAGTTTAGTAACTGGTGTGGAAGTAGTGAATGCTGCCAAATTAGCAAAAACATTTCCTCCTAATAACAAAAAGATACCAGTGAAGAACCCCATTTTAAACAAATCTTACCTGAATAAAAGGAAAAATCCATACATTTCGAGGATCATTCCTATCAAGGGCCAACCAATGAGAACTATAAGCACACCACCCAAGAAAAAGACTGTTGCTTTCATTTTGTGTTTTTGGAAGAAGAATCTAAATGTTCTTTCTAAACCAATAACAAAAGCCAAGCCAGCCACAAATAAAACCTGAAAGAGACAGAGACAAATCCAATAATGAATGAGAGAATATATTCCAAATGAATTTAGAATTTTACAAATGTTTAATAACCATTCTACAAAGCTGGAAACATTATGATGTGGAAGTATTCACCTCAACCCCTTGTCCGTCACTGTTTGTAAATTAGATACACATAGGGTGACCAGACAGCAAATGTGAAAAATCAGGACGGGGATAATAGGAGCCTATATAAGAAAAAGACCCCAAAATCAGGACTGTCCCTATAAAATTGGGACATCTGGTCACCCTAGATACATAAATCATCTACATTACAAATATAACCATGTCAGGAGTCTCTATGACGACAGTTATCTCCAAAAATTAAGGCATGTATTTTGTAATGTAGACATGACCCTAATCGTGTCCCTGGCCAAGGTTGTCTAATAACTTTTGGTGTACACAAGCCTTAGTAAGTGGCAGGTCATATCTTGCTCTACCTTGGCAGTGTTTCTTTAAGTCACTGACTCACCATCCATAACTTGTATTTAGCTGTTGTGGATCAACATAATGCATGATGTTTATAGATATTTAAGCATATTCATTATAACATAATGGGAAGAATTGAAGATAAAGTATCAGTCTTGATGCTCCTTGTTTTTCCACTACATCTCAGCTTTGATATTAGTTTATCAGTCTATCACTGTTGCAGAATAAATGCTACTCACTCTGTTTGACCAAGTAGTCCCACTGACAACAGTTGGCACTCGGCCATCAGTGTCTAATTATCTTTCTCTAATCACAACTACCACCTGCCAGTCTGAGAACTAACCCTACTAGCTAGAGTGAAATATACTTGAGCTGCAAAACCCTCAAAGCCACACCAACTACATTTTAAAGGAATAAGACACATGTACTAGGTCACTTTTGCTCTTCTACTCTCTTGTTGCATCTTTTCCTCTTCCTGGTATCACTCCACTTTTTTCCTTTCCTGTAAGGATAGTGTATCTTTTCTTCTTGTGTTGTCTTCAGTTCTGTTTACTCTTTACTTTCTCTCTAGCTCCCACTTTATATCACTTTCCCTACACTGAGTTATTTACCTCCTGCCCTATATTTATGGTTTTTCTTTTTGTATCCCAAATATTTATTTTATGTATGTTTTGCCATATACAAATTCTCTTTCTTGATACTTTGGGGGGGGAGGGGCTTCTGCAATTATACCCACCTCCAAGTATCTATTTTGGGACTTTCATTCAGTGAACAGCTTCCACATTTGCCCTGCTGTCCCTAGCTTCCACAAGCAGTAGCAACAGAGTGAAGATGACTTAACCCCTGCTGCCCACAGGGTTCTGAATAGCAACAATTGAAAAATGACAATCCTCTAGTTAGTTTTCATCTCCTGCAGATGGGCAAAGCTGTGAACAGCAGCGGAAGCACTGGAACTGTCAGATTTAGAAAGGCAACATCACATCAGTTAACTTTCCCACATGAACTGAATATAATCTATTACAAAAGCAAGAAATTTAATTTTTTTAAGTGAAAACTTAAAACTGCAGAGGATGAAGGCATTGACTAGTAAAAGTTCCTACTCACCACAGACAAAAGGTGTTTTTTTTCAATTTATTATTAGCAGTTTTCACTTAATTATACTTCCCTACCTCAGAAAAGTGTTAAGAGGCTAAATTTGTTAGTGTTTACAAAATATTAGAGTTCTTAGATGGAAATAAATATGCAAATTCTATTAAGTTACCTTACATACAAGACTGTAAAAAAGGTGTCAGAGGGCATGTCTACGCAGCATAGAAAATCCTGTGGCTGACCTGTGCTAGCAGACTCAGGCTCACAGGGCTTGGGCTGCAGGGCAGTTTCATTGCTGTGTAGACTTCCAGGCTCGGGCTGCAGCCTGAGTTCTGGGACCCCTCCCACTCCACAAGGTCCTACAGCCTATGCTCCAGTTCCAGCCCGGAAATCTACACAGCAATGAAACAGCCCCACAGACCAGCCATGGGTTTTTCTTTGCTGTGTAGACCTACCCATGACAGTCAATCTGAGAAGTCTAATGTATAGAATCAGTGGCACAAGCAGCTGCAGCACAAGTTTCTTCACTGTGGCTGACTCAGTGGTACCATCTTTAGAGTGATTGGGGGATTGGTTTAACTTTCAAAGTCAGTGGAAGTTCAGCACTTAAGGCATTGAACATAATCTCTCTTTTATACCAGATTCTGTTTTATTCAGTATAGCAGATTTAGATTATATCTCAGGAAAAGCTTCCTAACTGTAAGAACAATAGGACAATGGAACAGACTCCCTTGGGAGATCATGGAAGCTCCTTCACTGGAGGTTTTCAAAAGGAGGCTGGATAGCCATTTGTTTTGGATGATTTAGTCACAACAAATTCTGCATCTTGGTAGTGGTTAGACTAGATGATCCTTGTCCATTCTAAACCTAGGGTTCTATGATTCTATTTTCCAAGGCTCAGTTTCCATTTGATAACAAAAAAAAAATCTCGAAGGGGAACATTTAATACAAATGCATCATGTACTTAAAATACTGTACCCTTCCATGTCGAAACTATGTGTATAAACTAAAATGTGAACAGCAAACACTTACATTTCCAATAGCCAAAAGTGCTTTGTCAAAAAAGAGAATCATTCCAAAGAAAAGGAAAAACACACCAAAGCCCGTTAATCCCATTCCAATCTCTGCAATACAAAATTTTTTTAAAAAAAAGGTTAGTAAAAAAGTAGCACCAATGCATACAAGTATAAGAAAATTTATTTCACAAATTAAGAGTTGACATGAATAGGCTGCAGAAATTAATGTAAAATGTGGAAACATTTAGTTCCTATCTTGATGGGGGGGGGGGAAGTTATGGCCATAGCGAATTCTACCTATTTAAATTGTTATGAGCATGGAAAATAAAACAGGGTCCTGCTTCAAGAAGTTTTCAGATAGAAAGCTTTAAAATGAACTGTTATTTGTCATAAATGTTGTGATTTTAACTACCTGAGACTTCTTTGATGATGTGATCTATAAGTAGTAAGTGTATGAAATGTACTGTATATTGTGCAATACATCACTAAACTAGAAGTTACATATTGAAATAGAGTTCGGCATATAAGCACAATTGTGCATGTGTACATCTGAGTTCTGTAGATGAAAATAAACACAGTTTATCATTGATTTTGAGTGACTTGTTAGTAAATCAAAGTTTGAGTTTTTAAAATGATAGTTCATTAGACATGTTAGATTAAACTGCAAGATAAGTTTCAGTAGGGATGCCTGAAGATCAAACCTACAAGATTCTTCTCTGCAACAGTGATCAAGATCAAAAGACAAAGGGCTGCAAGTTTAGGCTTCATCTAGACTGAGGTTTCTGTGAAGTTCTCCTACATCTGTCTTAAAGAGCAGCAAAGCATCACCAGTCCTAGCACTAGTGTAAACCAGGTGACAATATTTTAATCACAATGGATATGTCTATACCGCAATTAGACACCTGCAGCTGGCCTGTGCCAGCTGACTCACTTGGGCTAAGGGGCTGTTTAATTGCAGCATGGAGGTTCCTGCTCAGACTGAAGTCTGAGCTCTGGGGCCCTCCCACCTAGCAGGGTCCTAGAGCCCAGGCTCCAGCCCAAGCATCTACACTGCAATTACAACAGCCCCTTAGCCCAAGCCCCATCAGCCTGCATCAACAGGCACATTCCAGCAGCAAGTTTTTAATTTCAGCATAGACATACCCAGTGTCATCTTATCTTGGTCAGACAGCACAGGGGTAAAACCATTGGTAGCTTATATATTCTAGCACTTCCATTTACTAGCAATAGTAGAAGATTTCACAACTCTGTGTAGCTATATCTACTCTGGTAGCAGTTAACGTCCTTACTTTTGTGAGCTCATCTCTCAATATTGTTTAACACCATTTGATATCCAAATTATATTTCTGTGGACTTGTAACAGTACATATTTTTAAAATTTGCTTTATTTTTCATTTTGATTGCAAACAGATTCAAGATCTAGTTAAATTTACACTACTATTACAAGGATAAGATTATTAGTTTAGATGTTCTGTTAAAAGATACTGTAAAAATCCACTCCCTAATCTGATATTCAAAAAGTATACACCCATATTTCACTGTAAACTTAAATATATCAAATATCAATTACTGACTGAGGACTATAATTGGAATCTGTCCTCTTCCCCAACTCCATTCAGACTAGCAAAGGGAAACATCATGGATGTCCTAGAATCAACCACCACCAGGAAGCAGATCTTGAAAGACGTACCAGACACCTGGTACGCCGTAGGACTAAATATACTAGACACAGGCTGATAAGAGATGAATTCCTGAACATACTGCACAAGATGCAGTGACAACACCTTGGTGAGAAGAACAGACCAACCCTCAACAGCCGTTGCAATTACTATCATTTTTTTGTTTTTTAAGTAGATCGGAAGCAGGAAGCCTGCCAAACAATCAGTGGGACTACAGCACGATCACGGTGCTAAAGGAGCACTCAAGGAAGACGAGGAAGAAGCTAAATGAATTCTCTGCATCGGTTTTCACTGCAAAGGATGTGAAGGAGGATTCCCACACCTGAGCTATTTTTTTTAGTTGACAAATCTGAGGAACTGTCCCAAATTGAGGTGATCAACAGAGTTGGTTTTTGAACAAATTAATAAATTAAACAGTAATAAATTGCCAGGACCAGATGATATTCACCCAAGAGTTGTGCAATTTCATATCTGAGTGCCTTCAGAACTACCAACTGTGGTATGTAACCTATGGCTTAAATCAGTCTCTGTGCCAGATGACAAGGAAGACCGCCGGTGGAAGGCCAATTTTAAAAAAGGCTCCAGAAGCAATCCAGGCAATTACAGGCCAGTAAGCCTGTCATTTTAATACCAGCAAATTGTTTGAAACTACAGCAAAAAACAGAATTATCAGACACATAGATGAACATGATATGTTGGGGAAGAGTCAACACAGTTTTTGTAAAGGAAAATCAGGCCTCACCAATCTATTAGAACTCTTTGAGGGAGTCAAGAAACACGTGAACAAGGGTGAGCAAGAAGATAGAGAGTCAAAGGCTTTCTGAAAGTCTAAGTCCAAGGTCCCTCACCAAAGGCTCTTAAGCAAAGTAGGCAGTCATGGGATAAGAAGGAAGGTCTTGCCATGGATCAATAACTGGTTAAAAGATAGGAAATAAAGGGTAGGAATAAATGGTCAATTTTCACAGTGGAGATGGGTAAATAGCAGGTTCCCCAAGGATCTGTATTGGGACCAGTGCTATTCAACATATTCATAAATGATCTGGAAAAAGGAATAAGCATTGAGGTGCCAAGGTTTACAGATGAGACAAAATTAGTTAAGATAGTTAAGTCCAAAGCAAACTGCAAAGAGTTACAAAGGGATCTCACAAAACTGGGTGACTGGGTAACAAAATGGCAGAGAAAATTCAATGTTGATAAATGAAAAGTAATGCACATTGGAAAACATAATCCCAACTATACATACAAAATGACGGGGTCTGCATTAGCTTCCTTGAGTCATAATAGATCTTGGAATCATTGTGAATAGTTCTGTGAAAACATCTGCTCAGTGTGTAGAAGCAGTCAAAAAAGATGTTAGGAACAATTAGGAAAGGGATAGACAATAAAATGGAAAATATCATAATGTGACTATATAAATCCATAGTAAGACCATAACTTGAATACTGAGTGCAGTTCTGGTCACTCGATCTCTAAAAAGATAAATTTGAATTGGAAAAAGTACAGAGAAGGGCAACAGAAAGGATTAGGGGTATAAAACTGCTTCCATATGAGAAGAGATTGAAAAGATTGGAAATGTTCAGCTTTGAAAAGAAATGACTATGGTGGATATGACAGTGGTCTATAAAATCATGAATAATGTGGAGAGAGTGAATAAAGAAGTGTTATTTACCCCTTCACATAACACAAGAACCAGGGGTCACTCAATGAAATTAATAGGCAGCGGGTTTAAACAAACATAAGGATGTACTTCTTCACACAATGCATAGTCAACATGTGGAACGGGATATTGTGAAAGGCAACAACTTTAACTGGGCTCAAAAAAGAATAAGATAAATTAATGGAGAATAGCTCCATCAGCAGCTATTAGCAGCAATGGTCAGGGATGCAATCTCATGCTCTGGGTGTCCCTCAGCCTGTAAGTGCCAGACATTGGGACTGGATGACAGAGGCTGGATCACTTGATTGCCTTGTTCTGTTCATTCCCTTTGAAGCATCTGTCATTGGCCACAGTTGGAAAGCAGGATACTGAGTTAGATGGACCATTGATCTGACCCACTATGGCCGTTTGGATGTTCTTATGCAAATATACATTGTTCTTTTGGCCTGGTTCTCATTTACACGAAGGGTCCTTTACACCATTCTGGCCATCAAAGAGGTCTTAAAGTGGGCATAAATTACATTTGTACTCACTTTAAAGGCTTTTTACACTGCCAAAGCAGTGTAAAAGAGCCTTAATGTAAAGAAAATCTGGCCCTCTGCCTTCTGTTTTTAGTAGATTCTGGTTTTGTTACCAAGGTTGCGTCATGACATGCAGTTTGTTGGCTTATCAGATGTGTGCTACTTGTATAATTTTACTTGGGATGTTTGCAGTTCACTTCAGAAGTCGGAACGCAGCACAATTTTAATTTTGTTGCTTATAAACCTACCAGTTTTATTAAAGGATACACGAACAATTAGATACACTTTCTCAAAATTCAGTCTTCCAAATGGTGAGTATGGCTGGGACAACTTTTGCTTTTTGAATTAGAAGGTAACTAATGCAGGGGCTGGCTCGCCGGAGACATTTGAAAACACACTGTAAATAGCAACAGAGGGTCCTGTGGCACCTTTGAGACTAACAGAAGTATTGGGAGCATAAGCTTTCGTGGGTAAGAACCTCACTTCTTCAGATGCAAGTCCAGGCATAAACCTCCTCTTACACAAAGGAAAACACAAGCCAAAATAAAAGTAA